CAAAATCATATGCAATTTCCCTCATTTTCTGTGTTGTCTCTGTGCTCACTGTCCTCACCAGACACCACTGAATGTAGTTTGCTGAAATTCAACCGCAAATCACACTATTTATGGCACTGAATATCCCCTATTGACAGTAACACCCTCAAGAACAGACTCATGGCGCACAATGACCTGTCAGATGAGAAATTCCATCATAATCTTTTGTTTCAAACGATCCTGTCAGAACTGCATGCTTTCTCACAATATTGGTGACTTACACAGTGAAGATTGTCATGTACTTTAGGGACAGTACATGTTTTGTTACCTGTCCAGGTAATTATCTGCTCATACAATCAAAATGTGTGTCAACATCCTTCATAACATGGGCTGGCAGATGTGATGAATTTTCAGATGGTTACTAAGGATGGTGTGGCTATTACCAACTAACTTTATCCTAAATAATCTATTTTGTCTGTTGGTGATAAACAGAGTACAAGAAGATTCAAGTCTTAATTCCAAACCTGGGGGGAACTTGCAGTTCATCACATGTGAAAGTCCTAATTTTGAAAGTTTCTTACTTAAAAATTATATTGTAAAGAGCACATTTTATGTGAGCCTACCAATAACCCTACGAGGAGTATTGTCAAGCAGTGTCACAAGGTCTGACAAATACTGAATCTCTTTAACCACAATCCTCTCCTGGGAGTTGAAAGTAACATCAACATCTGTGAACACAGCTTCAAAGAAGTCCTGCCAGTGTATCTGAAAACACAACACACATTTAATATAACTCCAAAATTACATATGCATATAAACAAAAGAGACTCTTTTTCTTCTTTAAGTCTGTGATATTTAAACAAGTACAAATATTTTGAAATTAATATTATATATTTAGGTACATTCCAAACAAAGACATAAAGACTTTATTTATTTAATAATGCTCACAGTAGCTGGCATATAATATAACCCACTTAAACCTAAATAATTCATAATAGTACAGGAAGTTTTTGCAGCAAGATGCTTATAAGCACCAAACTATTGACATGTAAACAGTAGTTTGGCTTGACGTAATGATTCTGATATGAACACTGAGGCGAACAGTCTTGGAATATTTTAGTATGCAGTAATTTCTAGGAGCCAATGGATGAATTAAGAACTGCTCACCATTTATTGAAGAACAAAAACTCCAATATTCATATACACATTTCTTAGCAAATCAATTATCCTAAACTTCAAACGGTAGTACACCTGTAATTTATTAAGAATTAATTTTATATAAGAATGTAAGTAAACCTCATTTTTAGGATAACTGAAACCATTAATCTAAGAAGTTTTATAAAAAACATACCAGCTGTTTGTTTATTCTCTTAACTATTACAAATAACGCCTGAGCTCAAGATTACCAAGCATTCAAGGACATGTAAATAAATAATATAAACCTTGGCATGAGGACTTGACACCTGAACAGAATCAGTTAAGTTCTGAAGTTCCAGAAATGTCATGGGGTTGTACATTCGGTATGGATTACGCCTCTTCTCACTGGGAGTTATCACCTACACGCATTAAATAAAACTGTTAACAAAATAACATACAATACCAAGTCATTCCAATATACAATATAATTAACTGATGGTGAGAATACAAAGCTCTTTGCACCTGCAAGTAAATCAATACTTACACGGGCCAACTCAGTCTCAAATTCAATTACTTCAAATGCATCTACACTGATCCTTGTTGCTGGAACTGACACATTCTGAGCTTTCATAACTTCAAGGGCAGATCCCACAATCCAGTGACGATATGCCTCTAACTGTTTTCTGTAAGTATGTGGGTCAACCAACATAGAACGCGGTAACGCCAATGAAGACTGGTCAATCTGTTAAAAAAATATTTAAAATCAAGTAAACCTATAAATAACAAAGACTGTAACAGAAAGTCTATTCTAAATTTCTAAAATATACAAAAAATTTATATCCCATTTTAAGTTTCGAATTTAAGTTTCACTTCATTCCTTCCATGAAAAACATTCCTAAGGAAGTGTTCAAAGCTACAATCCTTCAAGTTGACATTTAAAGTTTTTTTAAAAAGAAGAAAATTTTGGATTTCATAAAAAACATTTACAGACATAATTTTCACACAAATAATTTTCTAGATTTGGTGTAAATTAATTAACAGCTTGTTGAGGAAACAAATGCTAATTGTTCTGGTAGTTTTGAAAGAGGGCTATGGAAATTTTCTGCCCAGAAAATATAACTTACCGTAATAACATTTTGAGCAGAATTTTTTCTGTCCAAATAAACAACCAGAGATACCAGTGGGGAGATGCCAAAATGCCTAATCAATTCTGCAACAACTTTTTGCCAGTTGAATTCTTCTTCCTTCCAAATATCAGATGCAATTGGCCAATCACCAAGATTTTCAATTATGTCCAACAGGGGTTTCAAACCTTCTGACTCCACATAATCTACAAATAATTTATTATATGTTAATACCATTATATTACAGCCATGACAAGTGAACCCAAGACCTAAACTCAATGCAGTGTTTCAAAAAAGTATAATATATGATAAACAATTTTAATATGGTTCCTCTTTTGTTTCAAATCATCATAAGCCTAGCTTTCCTTAAGGATGTTGGCAACTAGCTTCATTAGCCCTCATCAATATCATATTGATTATCATGCTATAAAAAGTAATAACAGATTAAGTTATAACAAAACATAATGTCATTAAAAACTTACACTGTAATAATTTCAATTAGCAGAATTAGATTTCATGGCTTAAAGTAGTAATTTATGAATTTCTGGTCATCCAGAAATGCTCAGCTGGGGTTTAATTACTGAAGTTTAATAATTATGAAGTTGGAATTGCCATAAATAGCAATATGAGCCAAAGAAAGTCCAGTGACTTACCTGTGTCCATACAGGCTTGGTAGGTTTGTTTGGCAGCTCTTACTGGAAAAGGTTCATCTGAAACATCTGCCTCTTCAAGAATTTCTGTGAACAAGTTAAACATTTCTTGAAACAGAAGTGAGCAGTGATGAAAATTGTCTACTCACTTTTACCAAATGTTTTGAGATATGAGTAATCAAATAATGATATTTTCATTACAACAAGTGCAAATTATTTAATCACGTTCACCCTCCATTTTGAGTAACAGTCTATCCTCACAAACTGAATATAAAATCGCTGGCACTAAACAATTCATGGAACTGCAGCAAGCTCCTGTTTATATACATCTTTCCTGGTACAGCAAACAAACTGCAGAAGTAGTTAACTGCTCCATTTCTTTTCAATCATGTCTTTTGTTTCCATACCTTTTAGTTCAAGGTCAACCTTCTCCACGACAAGGTCAAACTGATTCATGTGTGACTCTGTTGGAGGCACAGGATGTTGCTTAATCCAGCCCCCACATGCAAACTCATAGAAGTCTTCACAGGGATCCACACTCATATTCAGACTCTGCAGTAACTGTGTGGCTATAGGGAAAAATTACATGAACATATTAAAGCAATAAAAAGAAAATTTGCATAGTACAGGTATATTCCAATTTACTTGGAAGCTATGTCCCTGGAAATTGGTGTGATGCAAAAACATTTCCACTGGTGACTTTTATCCATAGACATAGTGTTAAAAATCGGGATTATTTTCCTAAGCAGATATTTTTCTTAATAATGTAATCCTTCTTTCATCATTTGAAAGTTAAATAATACATAATAAATTATAAGATGCATTTATATGTACAAATATGGCATGAACCCAACAGATTATACAGAAAATAATTATTTATTTTCTTTAACACTGGTATTCCATATAAATAAATGATTTTTCTTCTAGCCTCTGCGTCCAGACCAACTCTGGGGCCAACCCAGTCTCCTATCCAGTGGGTACCAGGGTCCTCTCCCAGCGGTAAAGTGCAGCCAGGGCGTCATGACCACTTACCCCCATCTAGTGCCAAGGTCAAGAAAGAGTAGGAGCTATACCTCCACTCCCTCCAAACGACCTATTTGGCATGTAGCAGGATGTCTTTACTTTACTTTATTCCAGATAAATGCTTCTGAACGTCATTTAATGGAAATTAAAGAGTTTCCTCTGATTCTTGTTCAACAACTGTAATTTCACAGTCCGATGGATTTTAGCTGTTTTAATTTGAAGTTCCAGCTTCCTTCTTCTGTAATCATAGTATCACACAGATTGTGAAATAAACTGTATGTATGCAGAAAGACAGTGCATAAACAGGATAAGATCCTAACAATCAACACCATATAGTAAAATGTGCAATATAGCAGTAACATACTGGTGTCACATACATTAGGAAAAAGAAGCCTTGCCAATGATGAAAATAGAGTAAAACCCACTTACAAAATGTTCCCACACAGAAATTACATGTAATTTCAGTTGTCATCTTAAATGGTTTTCCATTTTATAAAGTATAAGCAAAAATTAACAAGGCCATTTTAGTCTGACAGCACTGCAGATTCTGGTGGATATAAACAACATAAACATTCCCTCATTTACACCTGGTAAGTTCTTGTCATCCTTTATAACATTGTAACATGTTTAACATAGCTGCTTCATTCGAAGTACAAAGAACAAGGTTTGTGATCCAGCACTGACAAATCTGAAATAAGCATCAGTTATGGACAGAAATTATGTGAAAATGTTTCAAGGCTGAACTGAAAAACAAAAATCATTCTGATGGAATTAAAAAATAAGAGATATATAAAAAGAGAGTAATTATATGTTCAAAACCCCACAATTACCTTTTATTGCTTATATACCAGTACCTTTGTATTTACCAGTCAGTCTTTTAAGAAAATATCACATTTTTCTACTATATGTCAGAACATGAGACATAAAATGAAAAATCATGTATAAATGCATGATGTCTGGTTATGAACCATTGTAATTTGTATGTATCAATAGATACACATCTTTACATATTTTTCTGCAAACTAAAATGTATTTGCACCAAGAAACAAAAGTGCTGACTTCATATTATAACATTTAAGAAAACCTGTCAACCATGTGAACAAAGAAAACAAATTCTACTCACCAGCTGCCTTACACTCTTCAGTTTCACAAATCTGACTTCTATCATGTTTCATAATTTTCAATGGCCATGGCAGAAATCCTGAAACACAGCAGTGTTTCAAAAAGACAATGATGAACCAAACACTACATCAGAAATTAGCTGTGAGCAATTAACAAGAGCAAAGAATATAAATTCCCATAATAAAAAGAACAGCTTATTTATCAGAAAATACAGCATATAATATATAAGAATATCAGAATATAAGATTGGAAAGGTGTATCTTTGTAGTATACATATTCAAAAGGTGTCCTTCATGCTACATCACATAGATCATTGCTGCACTAATGTGATCCAAGGTCACTGTAAGAGAGAAGTGATCTGTGAGGCAGAGCCCCTAGATCAACAATCACTGGGAGCCAGGCCCCAATGAAGCAAACAACCTGGTAAAGCTTCAGGGGTATAGTCTCTAGAAGTGGCTAAACCCCATGAATGTAAAATACCTTCAGGGGCAGTCCTGATACCTGGATGATCTAAGCTGAGATGGTAGAGTAACAATAACAGTAGCAAAAGACAGACAAATGTACATGGTTAGGCTCATAAGGTATTATTTGCTCATGCTAGAGCATAAATATGGATTACTAAAACCATTATAAATAAATAGTGCACTTTCCAAATAGTTACAGATGTCAGAACATCAACAGCTGACATTTTTAATGTTGGAGGAGAAGTTACACCAGAAATTTTCAACTGCAGGTGCATCCTATCAAGCAGATGAAATTGTAATAACTAATTTAGGTTCAAAACACATGATTTTACCTTCGTCACCAAGATTTGCATCCACAGAAAAGACATGCAGAAGTACCAATGGTGCAATGAATGACAGTTTAACCAAAAGGCTGCTGCTCCTGTAACAACTGAATCAATTATTGACAAATGATAAGACAAATAACATAGAAGTTATTGCAATTTATGTGATGTGACAACAGTTATTACCCAAAAAAAAGAAATCCACTGAGAGTTGTAAATTGAGTGAATGCAATTATTGCTCTGTTGCCATTTAGCTTTAGGTAAGCACAGCAAGGAGCTACTTGGAAAGTGTTATTAGAACACTCCTGAACATTAAATATTGCAGTTACACTTCAACTGACATTCTATTTAAAAAAAATATAACAATATTTTAGAAGGCCAGTGGTTCATAGAACCAACTGGTAAGATACAGTTATAAATGTAATATTTAAGTCAATCTCTCATTAAAATTACATGCTGTGTACCATATGATGGTATGTGAAATAATCTCATTTCACTAAATTCTTGATCATGACTTATTATTAACCCATTGATTTTATCATGTCCAAAACCCTCATAGTCTATCGTACGTGATACACTGGAGTGTTTTCTAGGAATAAGCCATAGCAGTTGCCACTTTAAAAACCAGTGAGCACAGCATTCATATATCAACATCTTATGATCTGACATAGTGACACAATAAGCTACATGTACCATTCAACATTCTAAAATACCAAACAGCTACAGTCTGTAGCTCCTTTAATGGTTCTGTATCAAATGCAATAGTCATTTAGTGTTGAGTAAGATGAGAGGATGATTATGTAAGATTTACCAAAACATTTTACTATGCACATTTTTCAAACTTGTATAACAAGAATTTTTAATGCAAAATTGTCTACTTTTCTCAATTCAGAATTTTAGATTCACACAGTAATGAAAATTTAGGTTCGATAAAAGGTGGGGGATGTCTTGACTTGCTGAGTGACTCAAGTACCCTGCTCTGTACAATTATTTAATAAAAGAAGAGTGGATTGTAAAATAATATAGTTTTGTCCACTTAGAATTTCAATAAATAATAATTTTTAATTCTGGATATTGCTGACTTACTGAGGATGTGATATCTTCATTGTGGTTTCTGCCTAACTGGACCTATCACTCCAACACAGGCACTGTTATATACTCAGCATCATATCTTCAGAGCAGCACTACACTAGGATCTTTGCACATCCCAAAGTGAAAGTGAATTAAGTGCACACAGGCAGCAGAGCACTCCCACAGACCAGGAAATCCCAGGTGAGCACTGAAGTTCACTGATGTTTCTCTGGGGTTGTAAAGTGTAAATTCAAACGTTTTCATATTCTACTGATATAATATTTAAATATAAGTATGTAAACACAAGAAAAACGGTAGGTTGACAGTCTGTCTACACAACTTTTTATTGTAGTTTCAATGTTTATTAAGAATTCACCATGTGTTTCAACCTAATTGGTTATCTTCTGGTGATTCTCAGTAAGTGTTCAAAACTAACAGATAAAACTGCTAATTTGTATACATATTTACTGTTGCTGTCTTCACATGTAATGGACTGTGTCTTAAGCACCATGTAGATGTAATTACTGGTGAAAAGATGTAGTTGAACTAAAGGGGTTGGTTGATGATGAGGAGTAGATAGGGAGGGGGCAGGTAGGCTGGTAACAGTGGTGGAGGGAAAGTACAGTCTTTAGGTATTACTGGAGTTTTATTAGGATTTCAAAAGTGGGGTTGTTGCTATCTGGATTTGTTTAACTGAAATTAACACCTTTTTTAATGCTACATATACAAGGAATTTTTCTTGTGTGCTCATGCTTAAAACTCTTAAAAAATAGGAAAAAAAGTCTCAGTACTGGAATGTTATAATACTTTCAAGGACAAATTTAAATCAGATATATATGTTACTATAAATACATACACAGGGTATACCATTCAAGATGCAACCCAACAACAATCATATTGTACGGTACAAATAATTAAATCAGAAGCATGTCCACATCATTGGCACTGACAATATTCTGTGTGACACTCAAAACATGCATTCATTCTCAAGTATTTCTTCACACCAAAATTAATTTGCTACTGTTTTCAAAGCATTTAGTAACATGTCAAGAAAGTACTGAATAAGACAACAATATATCACCTGGAAACAAAACTTTGGGACACAGTGTTTGTGTGTGGCAAGTGGACACTGAGCAAAAGAACAGCTGTAATTATGGCCATAATAATCTCAAGCAGTGAATCAACTGCAAAAATAGGATATGGTTGCTAGAATTCAATATTGGCATTGGTATTGTCATTAGTGTGAGTGAAGGGGCTGTGTTTTAAATTGAACACCTTGTTATTAATATGTGGTCCCCCTTGGTGGACTAGTGGTTAGCATGCTCGCCACTGGACCCAAGCTTCAAACCCAGCCAAGGTGAATGGATTTTTAAGGGTGATAAAAATCAGTAGCAACTTCCTTTGGAGGGGAAGTAAAGCCAGTGGTCCCATGTCGTAGATTTATGGCATGTAAAAGAACCTTACGAGCATGATACAAGATGTTTCATAATCAAGATTCAGCAGCCATTTCTCACCAAAGTCTCTCCTGATTCACTACTAGATGGTTCTAGCAGACAAATCAGGATTGAGTAGAAACTGTGCAGAGGGAGTGTGCTTGTCACTCATTACTCAAATGCACTCTTCAAGACTAATAAGGACAAGTTGCCAGAGCGACTGTCCCAGAACGGGTCAATAGGCCCAATCCTTGTAGTAGTTGATGATGATGATGAGTTATTAATATGTTCTACTTGATACTTTGTTCTGCATGGCTCACACAAATAAAAGTAATCAAGCATAAGTGTCCACAATAAAATTGTTTTTTTCCAATGACTTGTAAGGACAAATGTTTATGCTGAAAAACAAACTTTTCTGTAATAATATATAGTGAATTACTAATTTACAATTACATCTCAGAATGCATACATGAATTATCCTAAAAAAAATTCCTATTTGCTTCACACTGCCACATTAATCAGTTCACTAGTACACTATAGTGCAGTTTTGCTGTAAATCAGTGCTTTACATGATAAACAGAAACACACATCATTTACAAAAAAAAAGTACAGCAGGGGAGATATGGGATGTGACAATGGAAGGCTAAATAAGTGTAGTCATTTACTATAATGACAGGAAGTAATACACAGATATACAAAATCGTGTTGACATTATCACAAGGTTATCATTGCTCTCTGATAGATACATGCTGTATGTCACAGCAAGCTTCCTGTATAGCAACATTATTGTTTTAAAAACTGTGCACATGATAACAGAAAATGGCATCTGTCCAAAAATGCTTCCAGGTACTGCTATTAGAAGAAGTCACATTGTCACATTTAATTTTTCTTTCACACTGAACTATTTTTTTTCCTGCTTCATATTTTATAAGTTTAAGATAAAAACCCCAGTTCAAATACTGGTTGTTATGAGATGTCAGAGGGAATAGATGCAGTATGCCTGTTAACAAGTTTCAAGATTACTTACAATCATTCTAAAATATTAGAATTAATTTACAGAAATTCTGAGTGCATGAATTAGTATGCCTATAGGTTGACATACATGTTTTATGTTATCCTGTCAAATCGATTTAATTTAAATTTTCCATACAACACAACAGACATGTTAATGTTAATCTGCTGTAGTTTATGATATTTACAATTCAGATCAAATTCAGTGAATATAATCATCATATGGGAACTTACCAATTATTAGAACAAAAAGCCACAAAGGATATAATTTCCTGACTGAGATTATGATGCATGTCAATAACCAATTTCAAAATAATTTTGTTCATATTATAAAAGCTTAATAACAGCTGTTCCATACTCCTTGGGAATAATGAACAGTGTGGAATGGCCATTAAACTATTAGTGTGTAAACAGATAAGGAACAATAAAAGTTTGGATATATTCAAGCATGTGGAATTAGTGACACTAAATTAAAGTCACAAAAAATGTATATGTGAGAAAAGTATAGTTGGTATTCATACAAACTAAAATTGAATGAACACATGATGGTCAGAAATAGTGTTCTGAAAACGTACAAAATAAAACTTGTTTGTTCTTTCTGACAAGGCACATCTGTGTAATTTTAGTATAACATTAACTTAAGAGACACAAAGAAACGTAGAACAGTGATAAATAATATCATTCTCATTATTTTAGACATGGTGTTTATTCACATGCATTGTAAATAGTTTGGGAAGTTGGGATGGCATCTGCTAGTCTTATTCTTCTACCTTATAATAAACACTTAGTGGTCAGATTCATGCCTCAACCATTTTACTCCTGAAGAAAGGGCCTCAATTGTATCATTCGATACTGTAAATCTAATTTCATACCACATAATATCCAAGGAAAAGATGTTTTGTAAAATTACAGTTTATTTTCAAACACATTTTATATTTCCTTTCGCTTCTTTTTGTCTAGCATATTAAGAGAAGTTTTCTTTGATTTTACTCTTACACTACCACTTACTTAAAAAAAATACATCCCCCACTGGAAAAAATATATATTCACATAATTTATTAGTACAGTCTGATAAATTTTAATGTTATTACAAATTCTTCATAATTATACATAAAATAATATACACAAGAAAATACAACAGTGGATTGTAGTCTTCTTGGTTAACACACTATGTGGTCCTATATGTTATTATTACCAATGCTTTGGACAGCCAACTGCCTCCATCTTCAGGGTACCATCGGTAACCACCCACAAGATTACATGATGCCATAGCCCAAAAGACCACATTTCTACCATTATAAGAACCTACAATATCAAATAAAATTGTTTTCTAAAGTATATAGATAAATATCTGCTTCTACAGACACTTTAACTCCAGCAGACAGTCTTTCTTTGCACTGCAAAACAGAAACACAGCAGCCATTGCAGTTTCAGCTAGGAGCAGAAACACATTTTCTTTTAATGCGTTCATAAATTATATAGCAGGAGTTACTTATATCCCAGTCAATGGATGAGAATCATGACTAAGATTTATAAAATTATATTCATACCAGCACAAGGGAACAGTCATTATAAACTGTGTACAAACAACAACATAGTCCACACTGGATACACAAACGGCCCAATTCTTTTCTCCACTTAAAAAGGGAAACATGTCAGTACTCTAGTGATAAATGGTGTGTGATGAGTTTTTGACAAAAAGAAACCCTTCAAAACATTTAAAACAATGTATACTCTTATGAAAATGAACAACAAAAATGAATGTAATAGAGAAAACTTTCCTCCAGTCCAAGTTTCATACGAGATTCTGTTTTCCTATATTTCGTATGAAAAGTGACTGAATCAGATTTTTGTTACTACTATTGAATGTGTTTATAAGAAGAGGCTACTTGCAACCCTACTATACACTTTAACTTTAATAGCTTAAAGTTTGCAATGCTCACCTCTAAATGATGTCCATAGTCAGTAAGTCCACTATAAAAACATTCTATGTGAATTTGTTAATATTCCAACTGAATACAAACCATAATATAAAAAAATACATATGTTGGTCAAAACATTCTTATTGGTCCAATTCCTCCAACTGTGCAGAATAAGTAATGAAAAATACTTGAGATTCTAGTAATACACACACCAGTTAAACAGCCAAAAAAATTTACACAGAAATGAAAATTCAGTTCCTTAGTGTCAAAGAATTTAAAACATTTCAGCTTCCAAATGTGGCTACTCACATCAGATTTAATGATACTCTACCAATGAGGCCATGATCATATAGTAAAATCTTGAACAAGTCTATTTCAATGACAATGATCACTGGCTGACCTTCAAGTACAAGTACACTAACATACACACTAATTTTGTGTAAACACTGGCAGAAAGTGGGGAGTTGTTCCAACGTATAACAGGCAGTAAATAGTACCTCATATTTAGGTAAGTGTAAATGGTAGTGCTAACACACTTTTCATATTAGCAGCTTCATGTCTACAACTTGAAAAGTGTCTTGAGTAATACAAAATATCTCATACCTTGTATATCTGTTTTTTATATGAAAATCTAGCAGCTGCAAATTCTAAAATGTAAGAGACACTAAATTATGTAAGCATAAGCCATAAACTCAAGACTAATAAGGACAAGTTGCCTTGATCAACTGTACTGGAATGGGCCAATGGCCTGATCCTTGTAACAGAGAAAATGAATGAATGAAGCCATAACCAGCTGGCTTAGG